TGTTGATGTGCTTATGTGTTTAAAAATAAAAAAATTATCACCTAAAAAAAAAAGTGAAATGAAATGCAGGCAATTTTACTCTAACTTTGTCCTCTGTACTCTCTCTGGCTCCCCCTCAAACCCAGTAAATCCTACCACTAGCCTCATGAAAAGTGAAATGAATTGCAGGCAATTTTACTCTAACTTTGTCTTCTGTACTCTCTCTGACTCCCCCCTCACAGACAGAAGATCCTCCCACAAGCCCCATGCAAGGTCACTTGAAATGGAGGTAATTTTACTCTAACTTTCTCCTATGCACTCTCTCTGACTCCCTCCTCACACCCAGCAAACCTCCCACCATCCTCAGGAATGTTTAAATGAACTAGAGTCCATTTCACTCTACCTTTGTCCTCTGTACGCTCTCCGACTCCCCCTTCACAGCCAGCAGATCCTCCCACAAGCATAAGGAAACTTTAAACGAACTGTAGTCCATTTCACTCTACCTTTGTCCACTGTACTCTCTCTGACTCCCCCCTCACAGCCAGCAGCCCATCCTACCAGCCTCAGGAAAGTTTAAATGAACTGGAGCCAATTTTTCTTTTACCTTTATTCTCTCACTCTCACCTCACATGCAGCAGATCTTCCCCCCAGTAGCCTCAGGAAATTTCAAATGAACTGGAGTCCATTTCACTCTACCTTTGTCCTCTGTACGCTCTCTGACTCCCCCCCTCACAGCCAGCAGTTCCTCCCACCAGTATCAGTAAACTTTAAATGGAGGGCGGAGCTTCACGTCGCAGTGTGAAGATGAACTTTCATGCTTCTCCTGAATGTCCATCTAATTCAGATCATCTGGACTGTTCTTTTTGGACCTAAGCTGTCCCGAATAGACAGTGAAAGGTAGGGGGAGATCCAGTGGTCCCAGGACACCCGCAAAGTCTCTGGTGACCCGGGAAAAGCCCCCTTTGCCAGTGATCCCGAGTCAACCACCAGGCTGCTGAAGCTGCTGACAGCTCCAACACGCAAGCGCAGTAGAGAAGCATGTCGTGTTGGTGAGAGTTTTTAAATCCTTTTTTCTATTGGAAAGAGAACACCCTAAATTTGAAAACTTAATTTAAAATAAGGCTGACTAGGGAGAAAAGCGGCGGATATAAGTTGGCTAAATGAAGTCTTTTTTTTCCCCTTTTTATTTCCAGAAGCCGGGCTGGACTTTCATTGTAATGTGGATTTGCTTACTGCATTTTTTTCCTTTGATACTCTTAATTTTGGACCTTGTGGGGACACTTAATTTATTTAAATCTTAATTGCTTTGAAGATTCCTTTTTTCTTTTAGCTCTTTTTTGGCTACTCTGTTTAACTGTTTAACTGTTTATTAACAGTAACAGCCCCTTTGATCAGCTGGGAAGCGGCGGTGACGGCTGTGTGCGAGAGGCGGAGGCTNGAGGGAAGGAGGTCATTGAGGTGCGGGAAGAAGTGAGATCTGGCCCTGGGGAGTTTGGGGAGGGGGGGCAGATGGGCAGGCGAAGGGGGCAGCGCCGCCCTCTCCTTCCTAACCCACCGTGCTCTCCGCTACCGGTGGGTCGGATCCCGCTGCTGGCCGGTTTCTCTCGCTCGACCTGATGGTGCGCGAAGCTCCCGAGATGGACGGGCTGGAGGTCCAGCCGCCGCTCAGCGCCCGCGACCTCCTGGACGCGGCAGCCCCTTTCTGCGACCCCCGGAGCCTCCTCCCGACCTCGCAGCCGCCCAAAGTCGGCTACGGCCGGGGCGAGTCGAGCGGGGGCGGCGGCGGACCTTATCTGTGGCTCAACGGGGCGCCCAGCCCTTACTTGCCCGGTGCCAACGGGGCGCCCGGCTCCTTCGTGCCCTCGGCTGCCTACGGGACGGGCGCCCGGCAGCTGCTGGCCGCCCAGGCGGCGGTGGGACCCCCCGAGCTCAGCTGGCTGTCCCTAGCGAGCCACCAGCAGGACTTCTTCAAGCTGGTGCGGCCGCCCTACTCCTACTCGGCGCTGATCGCCATGGCCATCCAGAGCGCCCCTTCCAACAGGCTGACCTTGAGCCAGATCTACCAGTACGTGGCTGCCACCTTCCCTTTCTACAAGAAGAGCAAAGGCGGCTGGCAGAACTCAATCCGGCACAACCTCTCGCTTAACGACTGCTTCAAGAAAGTGGCGAGGCTCCAGGACGACCCAGGTAGGCAAGGAGCTGTCTATGGAGATTTCTTTTTGTTTCCAAATAATCTTTATTGGTTATACATCTAAAATAAGGCATACAAATACAATGACAGTCATTCACAGCCCAACTTTTTTCCTCTTCTTCCTCAATGTTTAGTCTCCAACCAGCATCTTCTCAAAGTTCAGGGATTTATTACAATACCCACGTTCACTTTTAATTCCCATTGTTAACAACTGCTGTTTAACTTTCCCTGTTTTAAGTCGCCACATATACCGTAGGTTCCAGCTAAGAGAATGTTCTGTTTCTCCTTTGTCCCTCAGCCAACCCATCATTCTGTCCATTTCTGCACATTCATAAATCTTTTTAGCAATAGCAATACCAGTTAGACTTATATACCGCTTCATAGGGCTTTCAGCCCTCTCTAAGCGGTTTACAGAG